AGAACCTCTTTATGAGGGTGAAAGAGGAGAGTGCAAAAAATGGTCTGAAGCTCAACATCAAAAAAAAAAAAAAGAGCATGGCCACTGGCTCCATCACTTCATGGCAAATAGAATGGGAAGATATGGAGGCAGTGACAGATTTTATTTTCTTGGGCTCCATGATCACTGCAGATGGGGACAGCAGCTACAAAATTAAAAGATGCCTGCTTCTGGGGAGGAAAGTGATGATAAACCTAGACCGCATCTTAAAAAGCAGAGACATCACCTTGCCGACAAAGGTCTGCATAGTCAAAGCTATGTATGGAAGTGAGAGCTGGACCATAAAGAAGGCTGACCGCCAAAGAATTGATGCCTTTGAATTGTGGTGCTGGAGGACACTCTTGAGAGTCCCCTGGACTGCAAGGAGAAAAAACCTATCCTTTCTGAAGGAAATCAACCTTGAGTGCTCACTGGAAGGACAGATCCTGAAGCTGAGGCTCCAATACTTTGGCCATCTCATGAGAAGAGAAGATTCCCTGGAAAAGACCCTGATGTTGGGAAAGTGTGAAGCCAAGAGGAGAAGGGGACGACAGAGGATGAGATGGATGGATTGTGTCATTGAAGCTACCAACCTGAATTTGACCAAACTCCGGGAGGCAGTGGAAGCCAGGAGGGCCTGGTGGGCCTGGTCTATGGGGTCATGAAGAGGCAATCATGACTTAATGACTAAACAACAACAATGCTTGCTGTGATAAGGTCTGTCATATACAGCACCCATATCAACTTGGATTGAAAGATAGAAAGTCAGGGAGAACCAGCAGTTGAAGACTATGTGGGACTGACAAGAGAACTGGGAACAGACAGCGTCTGGCAAAGCTGGTTGAATCACAGAAGGGAGTGGAGGCAGGTTAAAGAAATAAAATGAAGGGGGGGGGAATACCCAGTGCTCTGCAATGTTCTTTTAAATGTCTGAAGTAACATTCTTCTGTGTTGTTTTTCATCTATCAGCCACTGCATAGGTCTAACTTTTAAAAAATCAACAACTCAGGGGTCAGAATGATTACTTGCAAATTTGTTCAAAGCACTGCTGAGATTTAAAAAACATAGAGAATTCACACTGAAAGCAAAGGATTGTGCACTGGATAGTGATATGGAGCTGCTATTTGCAAAACTCCACAGGCAGTAACACATCAGCATGCAGAATGTGAGTAGTAACACATCAGGTGGAATAGGTAAAAAAAATTCTGGCAATTGACACCACAGAGTAGGTCTTTTATCTATAGATAGGAGTGCAATTATTGAATAGGAAATAGCTATTTGCATGGAAGCTTCCCAGAATCTCTGGGGGCACTTAAGATCATTACAAGGTTAGCTTTGCTTTAATGACTCAGGTCATGTAAATTTATTACAATTAATCATACTTCTTATCTCTGCACAGTTTTTCACTGAGAGTTAAGTAAAACCATTTGCCAGATTAGAGATGTTTGCATACCTATAATCCATTCCTCCTCAAGTAGCCTGCTATGTAGCACAGCTTAATGTAAACATTTTACTCCTACTCCTTCTCCCACCATTCCCACCACCATTTAAAGAAATGACAGAATTATCACACCTCCAAGAAGATTGCCAGAAATTAGATCAACATATCTGCAAGATGTTTGATTCCTATTCTTCCTCCATTTTGCCAAGTCCACCAGCTTCACAAGGAAATAATTTTAGGCTCTTTCCCAAGAAGGAACTTTTCTCACACCTTTCAAATTTGAATGCCAAAGGCCTTGGCACTCTATGATGAGGCATCAGCTTCATCAGTCTGCCACAACCCTGTGTCTCATGGTCTTCCTTTTAATAAACTGAAGACAGTGTTTGTTAATTAAGCAATGAAATTGATTCTGATATGTACCAGAAAGAGTGCTTTAAAGATATCATTGGCAAAATCTGTTGACCACACATTAATTTTTATACTTTTTCCAATATTTTCTTGAAATACTTTGGATTAAATCTAATTGTTAGTCTGAAGTAAAGCAGACTCATTTAATCAATGGGATTTGTTAATTTGACACTTATGCAAACTCCACTGATTCAATAGGTCTCTGTAGCTGGAAGGAACAACTGGATTTAGCTTTAAAAGATTACCACATTCATTCTCTCTTTTAAAAAACTAAAATAAGATGATTTTCAGCCTTACTCACAAGAACATAAATGATTAGAATTGTTCTGCCCCCCTATACATTGTAATTCCAAAAGAAAGTGATAAAACATGTCAGAAACATGGGTACTCATTACACACCAATCGAAAAAGTGATATAAACCCGCACTGATATGAAAGAACTCTGTGTTTGTGTGTGTGTGTGTGCATGCACACACATACATTAATATATACTGACTCCACCCCCACCCCCTGGAGAAGGCTCCTGTTCCTTAAAGAGAATAAAATATCAAATGCAAAAGGATAGCACACACATAGCATCTTCATGGATTTCCCCCCAGTTAAATTAATGCTCAACATGGTAACACTAAGAACATTAAGGACAGCATGTGGATATTCTGTAGGGCAGTGGCCCTCAACCTTGGGCCTCCAGATGTTCTTGGACTTCAACTCCCAGAAATCCTGGCCAGAAGAAGTGGTGGTGTAGGCTTCTGGGAGTTGTAGTCTAAGAACATCTGGAGGTCCAAGGTTGGGGACCACTGCTGTAGGGGTTTGAATAAGTAGTTCAGTTGGAATCCCTGATGCAAATATTTCTAATCGTGCTTCTGGGCTCAGCACACATTGCCTGATTTCTTATTTCAAGATCTCATAGGAGATCAGTGACCATTCTCCTGTATATGGGAAAGGATAAACTGTTAGGGTTTGCTATTTTTTTTTGTTTGAATAAGAATAACAACAGGGGGGAAAAGCATGTCAATGCAGTTGTTAACTTGTACTTGTTTATTTAAAAGGCCAAAGATGTCTCAGTTACGTCACAAAAGCTTGGAGTTCCATACGATTTTATCAGATACTGTACTTGCCTCCCTGCAGCAATGTTGCAGGATTTAAACTGGGTAGGAAGAACCTACCTGGTTCCAGAGGTCATTCAAATCTTAACTTCTATCATTCCCATCAGATTAAAAAGATTAAAGAAAAACCCACAGCACCACCTAGCAATGCTATTTAAAATGCTGAAAGGGACAAGGGCCTGCACAGTTATGCTATGTGTTAAATTCCTCTTGCCCTTCAGGGAGTGCTTAGGCAGTGCAAACAAGGGTCAAGAGACATATTTGTTCCATTATCACTGTGACTATGCTGTAAATAATAGAGATAATACTTTATCCCATTGATGTCGCTCCATATTGACAACAGAAGCACTGAAGCTGACAGAACACCCACTCTTTTTCAGCCTTGATGTCCACACTGCATCAGCTAAGGCCTTTCTCTGGCTGTAATGCAGGCCACAAAGATGAGAGGGAGCTGCATATGCCCTGGGTCAAACTCCCAGGCCACTGCTGACTGTTCTGAGACTGCTGTTAACTACTACTCAACCTCAAAGGATGGCTGCACCTGCAAGAACCTCTACAAAGGACAAATTCACATAACAGGAAATGAAGAGTTAACACTGCTGTTTTTATATACCATAGGTAGATAAGATGGGATTTTCTTCACTCTCCTGCTTGTTGAGGCAATGTCACTGTTAGTAGGGGAGATAACAGAGAACACACAGGCAAGTGAGTCTTCATCCTGCTAGCTCCCCTTGAGCATCCACTTAAATCTGATGGAGCAGAAGATGTGAGGTGCAAGGAGGATGACCTGCCACTGACACTGGCTTAAAGCTAATATGGCAGTGTGCTGTGCTGGTATATGCGTTCTGTGGCTTGTATACACTGAAATAGGCATGGAATAGATCTAATATCCAAACAATGCACATGGGCAGTTCTTACAGTCTTTGTGAAAGAAACTTGCTGAATTATAGTCACACAAAGAAAATATAGACTTTTCAGTCCATATATGTTTTAGTCTGGCCTCCAGTTTGCAAGTTCAACACTGGAGTGAGCTATGGAATATTCCCACATTCCCACAGACACTCCAGTGCTCAGTGGAGAAAGGGAAGTATTTCACATGCTCTCGTCTTTGCTGCCTGTTGGGACTACCAGAAGTCCTGACCAGAGTTTTCAAGAAGTCATCTAGTTATGTTCTTATTCTGCAATAACACTTTAACAAACATGCAAAGCAAAGGCAAATGCACAGAGATGTATATGCGTGTACAGGTGCGCATACAAGCACATACAAGTTGTACATTTAAATGTTTCTTCCTGGAATGTTTTTTTTTTCCTGGAACAAGATTTAAAGTCACAACACAGAATATTTAAACTGTGGTCAATAAAATAAATTTCTCTCCCCATAAAAGAGAAAAGGTTCCACAAGAGGAATAATCCAAAACTGGAGCTTACCCCAATGTGTCAGCACTCGTCATCCTTGGCAGAGGGGAATAAAAAGAAAGGAAGGAGAAAAAGAGAAACAGGGACATGGAAACAGGTGGAGAAAAGAGTACGAAAAGCAGAGTGAAATACTGTTTGGAGAAGTATATGGTCATAACTACTGCCTCAGGCATCTGTTGTTAAGGAAAGCACCTCTTGGAAAGGGAGAGTTTCATTTACTTGATAAGTATTTCCATAGCATTCTTAGGGATGGAAAAGGTTTGAATCTCAGAATATGGGGACAGACCCAGCAAGTGTAAAGGAGAAGAACAAACACAGCTTGTCCACCTTGACAGAGCTAGCCTGTGGAGCTGGGGGTCTATATTGGGTTGGTTGCTCTTTGATGGCAAATCATAAATTATGCATGCAGAGCTGTGTTAAATGGAAGTGGATTTATCTTGTTCCACTCATTTAACATTCTACATTTTATATGCTCTGCTAAATGACATTGACCACTCCGATTGAAACAGCTCACTGGATGTTTTTCCTGTGGGAGCTTGTTGAAACGGATCTATGCTCTTGGATGACACGCATTCCCTCAAGCTCATCCAAAGGATTCCACCAATTAAGAGACCTTCAACTTTTGACTGATTATAAAATATCTTTTTACGAAATGAAAACCGAGGGTCATACAGATAACTTTCTTTGCTTGAATGCAGGGAATATAACATATACAAGCGGAAACACATGGAGCCTGAAACAAAAGGTAGTAAAGAGGCACAAATTGATTTTATGTCCTAAAAACAAATTCAAATTGCACCAATGTTTTTACTGCTACTCAAACCACAAACGTTGGGTGAGCAGAAGACTTGCAGATCTGTTGTGGATTCAACCTGCAAAGATATCATTCCTTTCTCCCTATGCCTCTCTTTCCCCAAATTCTGAAAGAATGGCTTTAGAAAGCTTGAAATATTATCCTCCTTCCAGCTCAGCATTGCACATTATTTGTTTCTCACGTACTCTGTCTATTCATGCTCCACCTACCTTCTCATTGAACAATTTGTAGGAAGTGGACAAAACGTTTCGGTCATGAAAGAACTGCCCTTTCCTCACAGCTATAAAGTGTGCAATTAAATATATCTGAAACATACCGTGTTTTCCCGAAAATAAGACAGGGCCTTGTATTAATTTTTGCTCCAAAAATGCATTAGGGCTCATTTTCAGGAGATGTTTTATTTTACAGTCTCGTCATCTTCTGGTTGCTGCACAATGGTAGAGGGTGGGATTTCACTTAACTAGGGCTTATTTTTGGGATAGAGCTTATATTACGAGCATCCTAAAAAATCATACTAGGGCTTATTTTCAGGGTAGGACTTATTTTCGGGTTAACAGGCTATTTAATTTCCTTAAAAATCTAAGATGTTACCAAAAATCCTTAAGCATAATCAAACAGTATTAACCAAAATGCTAAATGTAATTCAAGCCCTCCCCCCACCCACCATGCTTTTGGAGGTTCACCTTCCAAGAAAGCCTACACTCTCCTGCCCCGAGATAGAAGCTCACTACACTGTTCTACCATGTGCTATGTACGTGTTTCCAACAGGAGAGCAGTTAAGCCACGTTTTTTGACTGAATGTTGCACTTTGGGTTAAAAGCATCAAACCTGTCATGGTGGTGTAGTTATAATACCTAAAAATCTCCAGAGATAGATTCCCCCTCTCTGCTCTGCCACAGGTCTACTCTGGTTTTGAAATATATTTGAATTCCTTTTTTACTTTAACCACATTAACAGAAAATCTGTAGTGCTGATTGTAAGGTCGCAGTAGAACGAGATGTGCAATTTTAGTTGAATGCTCATGACACACAACAAAAAGAATATGCACATGTACAATGCCATATGAAATAGATGTGTAAATGGTTCATTAGAAAATGCTGTTACATAATGCAAATACTGTCTTTGAAAAAAAAATAACATTTCATCCATCAGTGACCTAATGGAGTAACTTTGGAGAGCTTCAAAACACTTCTTCCTGTATGCCCTCCTTGCCAGAATGTGCACATAGCGTGTTGTTTGAGAGCCATTTTGTTAGTGAAACATTCTTCAGGGATTGCCACCTTTTTTGTGTCTGAAGCTAATTCTTTGCTAAGAACAACTATCGTATCACATTCAGGTTGTTGTATGCGAACAGAAGTTGGAAGAGATGCTAACTCATACAGCTCACTATACTGTACTGGAACTGGAGGTGATCACACAAAGCCTCTACCCACAGCACGGAAGTGCTGCTTCAAGCAAGGACCGCACTCTGTAGCACCATAGGGCTGGCTCTAGGTAAGTAACACTGCACACAAAACTGCATGATCGCTATGGGCAGAACTATAATCACATTTCCACCTTTTGAGGTTTGGCTCTTGTAAAAACTCACATTGAATTTTATGCACTTCCTATGGTATCTAGCTGATGGACTAAAACAGAAACATTTGAAAGAGCCCTCCATTGCTTGTTAGGGTCCATATTAAATAAAAAAATTCATATACTGTAGGTCAGTAACCAAGAGCATCATGTTTCATACTTCCAACCCAAAGTCCACAATCTCAGTCTTACACACACTGCTCTACACCCGAATCTACACAGTTCTCCTCTGTTCCATTAATGATGCCACTGCCAATTCTGTATAAATACCCAGAGATTTGAAGTATTACTAGAGAAGGGGACAGACATACAGATTTCCTAACATCATCGTCACCTACACTTGTTTCCATCTTACAAACTGGCCTCCTGTTTTCATCTTTTTTCCTTTTGTGAAATTCTAGTGTATATTCGTGATGCAGGAGGCCAAACTCATCAATTCTTAATTTTTTCTTGAGTCAAAAATAGTATGTTCATAAACAGCTACACTATGTTCTCTGATATCATAGTATACATATTATCTACAAATAATATTGGCAAGTAGATTATCTGCTTCCCTAGGTGTGCACATAGACCAAGGTGCACATGTCTTTACGTACTGTAATACACAAAAGCAGAGAAAGTAAATGTAAATATATAGATATATGAAAATACAGCAGTATGGACACATACATATGATTCATGTTGCATTAATCATTGTCCCAGAAAGGAAAAGGCACTGAAGACTTTAACAATGAAAAAGGACATCAAATTGACAATGGGGAAAGAAAGGAGGAAAATGAGTTCTATTTAAATGAAAAATAATCCCAGAACACAATAAACCCAGCAGTGCAGACATGTGCATTTTTTACAGTCCTGAAGCATGTGAGCTACTGAGCTGCCGCAACCCAGATATAAAAGCAGCACTGAGGGTATAGGGCAAGAGATGAAAGAGAGAGAGAGAGAGAGAGAGAGAGAGAGAGAGATTAGGAAAAGAGCAGAGAAAGACAGTATAGAAGGAAATGCTAGACAAAAGAAAAGAGAGAGAGAGAAAGAGATGGAGGGTAGAAGAAAGGAACAGTGGCCTCAGCTCCCAAGACAACTGTGTGCATCTAGAGGGGCAAGATCCTTAAAGATGCAGTATTCCTCTTAACATAAAGAAAAAGCGAAAAGTTAAAACATTGACCAGACACCATTTCAAAAGGGTGAATTGTCAACCCAGAGGGAGAATATTTTGGTGGGGCTTTCTTTGTTGCACTTTCTCCCTCTTGCACTTCCTTGAGCTGTATTTTCTCAGGTTTTTTTTCCTATTATTGGGATACAAACACGCACATGAAGAAAAATAAAATGTAGGAAAATCCCCCCCCCCCGCCCTGCCTTCATGCTCTTCACTTAGGAACGGAAGATCACCTATTCTTCTGTCCCTGCCCCAGCTTTTTATATTAAATTTGAAATTCTTAACACTGCCAACATTATATCCCCCCCCCCCCCCCCCCGTCTTGATTTTAGATCCCATGGAGAAGGAAGAGGGACTGATACAAGAAAAGCATAACTTGTTTGTATCTTCCAAAGCTTTTCAGGCACCCATTTGAGGGAAACGTTTTATTCGAGTAGGAAGAAGATCAGGGGAAAACATTAAAGGTATAATGAGCAGCAAAGTGCATTTGCTGGTAGGGATGGGGAATGGCGAAGGGCGGACTCTTCTCCTAACCTGTCTAGTGAGAAAATCGGTAAGTCCAAAAAAATCTGATTAGGTTTTAAGATCGTTCTCCCAAGACAGGCATTCCAGCTGAGATTTGCATTTAGTCTCTGGCTGTGCAATGATGCTTGGGGAGTCCCTGAGGAGAGCTGTGCAAAGCAGCAGCTCTTTATTTCTCCTTAACTTGTGAACCTTTAAGGCACTCCTGGCAACATGGTTGCAATGCTGTTTTTCTGCAGGCTCTCATAAAACCGAGTCCCTAATACGCAGTGTCAGAATCAGACCATCTGTCCGCTGACAAACAGTGCTCCCTTAATCTGCTCCTTTTAAGTAGGAAACCTGTAAGCCTTTAAAAGGTTTTACCTAGTGGATTTTCTCAGCCTCCAAAAGCAGGTTCCAAGGTTTACAATTAAGCTCACACAAACTCTGACCAGAACCCTATATCAGTATTATTTATATTAATTCCTGTGTAGACTGGGGATTAGAGCTATACACCAGGATGTCTCCAGTTCCAATCCTGTCTCTCTAGTGCACTCTCAAGGTAAGAGCATATCACCCCATCTGCAATCTCTAACTTGAAGTGTGGAGATTATTGATGGAAGTTAAATTGCTATTATAAGGATCACAAGAAGACAATGTAGGTCAACAAGTTCAAACATCATGTAATCAATGGCTAGAATAGAGTCCACTTGTGATTAGTTTTGTAACTAGTTATCCCAATCCCTTAACTAGGTGGATATGTGGGTTGCGCTTCTAAAAATTAGTATTATGCTGAATTAAAAATCAATTATTGCAGGCTTTTAAAACAATTCAAAAGTAGCTATAGTACATTTAATAGCTGGGAGGGGGGTGTTGCCAGATGGAGCTTGGCATATACCTGCTGAAATCCCATCTGCTACACAATGATGAAACCTTCATTCTAATTAACAGTCTCATCCCTACCTAGTGAATGATGAAAGAGCAAAAGGACCAGTTAACCACTATCAGCTGACAGGCAATCTGACCCCTGAAGTTCAAGGCTCATGGTTAATCAGCAAGGAGATTAGCTAGTATCTCGTATGTTGCACAGCTCAAGGTCAGACCACCTTTGCCATTGTTTAAACAGTTGGCTAAGCCCACATCTGGCTTTGGTTATCACAGGAGGGCTACGGGGAGGCAGTGACAGCTGCATCACGGAGACGCGGAGGGGTGAAGGAAGTCTTCCATTCCTTTCTCATGGTGATCATCCATGTAAACTACTAGCTAAGTGAGAATTTAGGGTCACTGCACATACTAGTACAACCAGACAAATGGGAAGATCAGGTCTCTGTTTCTTTCACAGTTCATTCAAAAGGAATTAACGACAGCTTCATTGTATAAGGAAACAAGAGAAAAGCCGCTGCTGCTACTACATTTTCCTCTTCAGTGCAATTATTAAAAACACAGGGGCCTGTCCTCCATTGCATCTGGTTGCTCCAGCACAGGCAGAAGTTTCATTTAAAGCAGGTGAAAACTGAAATGCCAAAAGGCACACAATAACTGAAAGAACAGTTCTCACTCTTTGTTTTATAACAGTGCAAGCAAATTTCCCCCAGTGGAGAAGGTATGTACTGCATCTTTAAGGAATAGCAGTGAGGTAAAGGAGAGGAACAGATTGTTGGTGTTTTATACCTTTCGTCTTTGTTGAATTTGGGATTGGCGTCACAGATATCCAGGCTTTTACTGAACATTGTTTTACTATGGCAGGAACAAAGTGAGAAAACAGAGTTACTGATGTGGACATTCATACGAGATTCATCTGATGTAGTCCCTAAAACCCACCCACTCAAAGCTACCCCATCCTTTTTGGGGAAAAAATTTCTCTGAAACAAGCCTTGATACAGTATCTTGGTTGGTGGGAATTTTTGCCTTTTTCTGCATCAACGTAGTCAGTGGGGGAGACATTAATAGCAATGACGGAAGACCACACTCCAAATCTTTAACAATTGTAGTGAAGATTCACTTCATACTAGTTGTGTCCACTTCACAGTGCTTTTTGGACATGGCTTCCCAGACATCAATTACTTCTTAAAGAAATGTTGACACAAAGCAAACTTGTCTTTGTCACAGAGGTGCGCGAGTCGCATCAACACTTCTGTTGAAGCCGCCAATATTAAACAGAGTCAAATGAATGACATTTCTGTTTAGCCACTTAGAATGGCCTCTTCTGCAGATAGCTGGTACCCATCCCATCCCATTCTATTCCCCCTCCTGTTACACAGCCTGCAAAGAAAAGCCCAAAGAAGCAATTGATCATGAAGAAGAACCAGCTTTTCCCCTTCTGCTTGATAATCTACTCATTGTACTTCATTATACTTCTTTAACATAAGCTTAATAAACTATCCTAGAAAGCGTGGAGCCTATGACACCCGTCCTTGGGGAAGGGGAAATGCACCATGAACTTGGCAGCTGCTGTGGCATTGATGTATCTTGGGAGAAATGAAAAGCTGACTTTATATATGATAAGCAAGAAGTGAATATACTAAATCCCCATCTCTTCCTGGAGAGCATAAAAAGAAATGAAGTTTAGTAACCAAAAGAACAATAGAAGAAGCAAGATTTTCAGCAAAGGATGCTGAAAACCCAATAGGTGTTAAAATATCCACTGCATTCATCTCCCTCACAGGCTTATTCCCTTAGTAGCAGTGAACAGGAAGTGAAGGGGGATGGAATTTGTGACAACCAGGCATTCTTAAGCACCCAAGGAACCAGCTAAAACTCTCTTCTCCATACATTTTGGTTAATAATCTGCAGGATTAACCAAGACCAGTACAACAAATACTTGTACACTGCTAAAGTATGTGCCTCTGACAGCCAATAAGGGAATGCACAGTGGCAAAACATTTTAAGCACAAACGGACAGAAAGCAATTGGTAATAATTAGGGGAAGGATTTCTATGACATCGTTCCCCCCCCGGGTGGGTCTGAACATGTTTATGAGTAATCTGGTGAGAAAGGCCATATTACTCATAAGCATGTTTGAAATTGCTTATGAGTTCAAATGTAAGTTGCAGAGAAAATGTATAATGTCACAGAAATCCTCCTCTTAGTAATAATTATATAGTACATTGTTTTTCGCAGGCTCTTCTTGGTATCAAAAGATAGCAATTTCATGACGATATTAAGGAAAGGCCAGATTTCTTTCTGAGGCCTATTAATCATCTGTCCTGCTCGGTTTCAGCCTCCTTTCTTCACATTATGGATGCTCACTCCTACATACAGTATTGCAAAATTGTTGATGGCACAGTTATAAAATCCTGTGGTCGTTAAGCACGCAGCCAGTGTATGGAATGCTAGGCACATGCAAGAGAGATTCCATTCAATACATGCACTCTACAAAGAAACAAACTGTTTACGGCAGCAAGAAAACCATGCATAGAGCAAAAGCACAAGAAAATGGATCTCCTGATGAACAGTGCTTACTAGTATTGCAAGTATACCTAGCTAAGAGGACAGATGGCCAGAGGTGTAACTAGCCATTTTGGCACCTGAGGTAACCAGAGGTTTCTCCCACTCACTCTGCCCTGGTGTATGGGCAGGAATGTCCCCAAGAGAAAGGAGGACAATGAAGTATTCCCACCCAAAAAGAAAGAGAAAGTTCCTGCTTTCAAAAAAGGGAAAGTGAATAGTGCTAAAAGATGTTGCTGTGTATTTTCCTAACATCAGTACATTTACCTTGTCCTGTTCTACTTATGGCTCTGCCAATGGTTATTCTCCCCAAATACCTCATCTTCCTCAATAACCTTCTGAAATAAACTATGAAAAGAATATGCACCATAGCAGACTAATTTATACGCCTATAGTGATAGACTATATTGGTTTTATATTAACCAGCATGGTCTTCCCCAAGAGACCCCAGAAATTGCAGTCTGTAAGGACCCTGATAATTTAGTGCTATAGATACTTAGACCCTTATCACAAAACTACAGCTGCCAGATTCCCTGGGGAAAAGAAATTACGGTTAAACCATTCATGTGCATAATATAAATGCACCCCCCTCCAAAAACAATGATCTTCTTAAAGGCAGACCAGTGAAGGATGGAGGTCTACAAAATTTTATTTTATGTGCATCATTTGGTGCCACATACTACACTGTAAGCCTCATAAAGTTTGCCCTTCATCTGGAGGTATCTGTATTTTGTTACAGAAGGTTCTGACAGATAGGGTCTCTATCAGATGCGCACCATCTCTAGACACTTGTTGGTGTTAATCAACAGACCAAACTCTGAACCACCGGTCTCTTCTATGTGCCTTTATCATCCAGTTATGAGGTGTGTACTGACTCTAAAATGTCTAGGTGTACTATGCAACGTTCCTCTTGGACCTTCATGAAACTATAAGCCCCTAATCTATTCTGCTTATTGCCCTTCCTAGTCCATAGCCACATAACTGAACCATTGTTTTAGCAGCTGCTCTCTAACCCAGACATATATTAGCAACAGTCCAGATGTTATTGCCAGCAAATACTCCGAGACCCTAAAATCTAGACTTATCTTTGACTATGGTATGCTCTTCTCAGGGTTTCTGAGAGAGCGTTGTGGCATAAAAATCCTTCTTAACGTTCAGTCGTCTCAATAACTCCTAAAATCTTGCACAACACTTAAAAAATTAAGGGATATGATTCTAATCACACTCAGATAGCAGAAAGACTCAACTTTTGAAGTATTGGCATTTTCCTGGCAATTAACTAGGCAACCACTGTTGCAAAGTGAAAAGTGGCAGGAATGGTGCAAGCTACCTTAGTCTATTTAGGATTTTCTTCTTAGGTTAAAGAAATGGTATGTTCCCAAATTCATTCTTTCCTTCTCATCTGGTTATTTTCACCTTATTCAATCCAGGCAAACACCTGGTGCAAACAATGTAGCTTAGCATAACAACTTGGAAAATAAAGTAATATTAGAGTTTTTGAAATATTATATTCCAGTCCTGGATAGCTTTAGAGATAAGCAAAATCCAAGACAGATCTAGAATGTGCCTTAAGCTTGCTCATCTTTGGATCTTCAAAACTGTCCTCTTTGGTATAAAATGCCAGAAGCATTCTTCACCGTAATATTTTTATATACTGTATTTATTAATTATTCACTAACTTACAGGTAACCTGTCAATGCACTTCTCAGAACTAAAATATATGACAGCCGGTCACATAACCATAGAATCAAATGTGGGGCTATTTTGGATAGAATTATTCTTCACACACCAAAAATGTAATTAATGATGGATGTTAGACACATCCAAGAGCTTCTCGTGTTTTCTATCTGGCCATCAACTAATGTTCTAGGGAGCTGAAACATGTATCCATTTTGCAAAGAATGAATTTAGATCTTAAAACTGTAAAAGCACAGACGCTTCTTCAATATATTTCTGAATATTACAAGACCTATGGAATTTCCCTTAACCTATGAAATATTAAAACATTCAATCCCATTCAAAACACAACCAGAAAGCCACAACAAAATGTACTGAAACTATTCCTTCTGGAAATATTCTTTTTGGACATCTGCTTTTCACTGTCACACCCTGAAATGTATGTTTCCTCGGTCAGTGAGAGATTTGCAAGAATACATCTATTATATATATGCATCTTGTAAGAAGTGTGCTTATATTCTAAGGCATGTCCAAGAGTTATGATTTACACAAGTGCTCAAATGGTCCACGCTGCATGCCTTTAACTTGCATAAACCTCTACTGGTACTTTTCCCCCTTAGCATTACTTTGAAATGTAGCATGAGAAGCAAAAGATTAAGAACAGAAGAAAAGTAGTAAACAGAGAAGGCTCCCTGTGATTAACTTCTCTTCCTTCCAAACTCTGCACTCTAATATCTATAGCACCTAAACTGATGCTTTTTTGCCTAGGTAAAAATGAATGTGCCACTACCCCAGATGTTGTGGCTTCTAAATTCCAGGACCAAGCATCCTACCTTTTAGCTTTTGCAACACCTACCTGTGACAAACCCAGACCTACTGGGATCTATCACACAGTTACTAAGCTGCCACCAACCATTCCCTATAAGAAGTCACACAGACCAGGGATGGATTTTTAAACAATAAAAGAATAAGGTTTATTTTAAATACAAACAGGGTAAATAAAACAATCAGGTGAATAAAATAAAGTAACGTGGCTTATTCTCACACACACAAGCATACAGTTTGGTTCACCTAGAACCTTTAACTTAAAGCACAGACCCTGAACCCATCAGTTCTGGCTAACCAACAGACCCCTGAACTTATCAGGTTGGTACTCTGACACACAGTAGTACCCTGTCAGACACCCAGACTCCCACAACAGCTTCTTCTTCCCCAGCTGCTGCTTCGTCCCAACCCAGTGTCTCACAGTCTGTCTCAGCATCTCCTCTTCACCACACAGGCATCACATATTTATACAGTACAGCCCCTCCTCCTGATGTCCCGCCTTCCACTCCCCATAGGATGGAACTTTCCCTCCAAACCCATGACAGACAGGTAACATCAGTGCTGTTATGTAACACTACCTTTGTCCATGCTGAGCCATTTCAATTGCCCTACGAGCTGGAACTGGAGATCCTCCATCTGTCACACTCAGGACCTCCATTGACTTCCTCTCTGGCCTCCGCTTTCCATGTCTGTTCAGCATTGGAGAGTCTACACGCTTTCTGGGAGGGTCTTTAAGTAAAGATAACATAGTTAACTTAATATGACACTGCACACCCTAGATTGCCTTCAGTTGATAATACATTCATTCTTGGGATCCCTCCCTTATTTTATTTTGTAAACTGCAGGGACAAAAGGGCCACAATGGAGAACCCAAACATTAACACTCCTCCCCACATTTCAAAATCTCATGCATAATGCCTCATTACTTCTGCCAAACCAAAACTGCAGCAGGAAGTTTCCTAAAGTGGGTTGCAATGAAACAGACATAGCTTTAAAAGATTATCTGCAGAGTAAAAAGAAAAAAAGTGCTTCCTTTCGGAGAGCATGTTTAATTTAGAAAAAGTTGATGCCCAAATTACATCGTTTCCCAATTGTTTCCTCTACAAAGATATATATTATTTTTTTCATATCAGTTTTCTCTACAAAGTTTTATCTTCCTTTTTGAAACGTTCTCAATACTCCAGACAAGCTGCAAAGTAGAAAGCCAAAGAAGTACATGGCCATTTTAGATAAAGAGATTTTACGCTTTTTGCTTGTACACTTCTCACTTGAACAACAGAGCTTTGGTTACACAGATTTTTTTCTGCTTATTAACTAACTAACTAACTAACTAACTAACTAACTAACTAACTAACTAACTAACTAACTAACTAACTAACTAACTAACTAACTAACTAACTAACTAACTAACTAACTAACTACTGTGCCCCTAATCACCCAGAACCTCATGAGTTCAACACTGAAGGCATCAAAATGGTCAGCTTGACCTCAAACACAACATCTCTAATTCAGCCTCTAGATCAGGCAGTCATAAGGACCTTTAAGGCTCATTATACATGGAAAGGATAATCCACGCTATGGAAGACCCCAATAGAGAGCACCATTCTCTCTGTGTGTATGGGTATACACACATACGAATGAACTGTTCACGCTTTGTAGTTACATTTTCAGGGCATAAGAGTTATACACTTTGAACTACTTGGGGGTCCAGCAAAAATGACCCTAACATTGTTGAAGGGAGAAGTGTAATCAAGTACTTCCATGTTTGACTGGAGCATCTTTGAAGGCATCCGAAAGGGGCCTTAGCTTGCATTATTCAAAGCGTCAGATCTAACAAACGAGTCCTGAATGTTGCAACACTACAAGGCCTACTGAAACCCATTTTTTTCACACTACTGCAGATTTGTGTCTCTTATTTTAAAAACTGGGCAGAAAGGTTCCTTCTATTGGTAGGAGGCTTTCAATTCATGGGAACTTTTTTTCTGCTGGGTGAATGGGGAAGGAAATGACATTTCCCAATTCTCCTCTTTTTTGGCAGTCCCCTGAGTCTCCCCAAAATCTGCTTCAGAGCATGTGAAGCAGGTGGAACTCTGGTGTGCAGAGGTTTTTTTTTCCTATTTTCTATGACTGGAGCTCAGCTCATACTGGAAGAATAAAACTCAGAAACCAGAGCAATGAAAATCCAAATATTTACTGCCAAGGAGTTCTGCAATAAAATATACAAAACATGGAGCCTGGCATTTCTTAATATTGACTGATGCTGTATACAATTTTTACCATATTTGCCGGCGTACAAGATGACTTTTGGGGCCCAAAAACATGCCTCCAAGTGGGGGGTCGTCTTGTACGCCGGGTGCACTTCATTTGGGCTCGCTTGCCCACCAACCCCCATTTCCCTTTTCCTCCTCCTCCTCCTCCTGCCGCCCCCCCTCAGCCTCTTGCCCTCTTCCTCGCCCTCGACCAGAGCCCGCCGCCCTGCGCGCGCTGAGCCAGTGGTGCACTCGCTCGCCCGCCACCCACGCTGAGCCAGTGGTGCGCTCGCTCGCCCGCCACCCCTGTTTCCCCTCTTCTTCCTCCTCCTCCTCCTGCCTCCACCCGCCCTGGCTCTTCCTGTTGGGGGGGGTCGTCTTATACGGCCGGTCACCTTGTAGGCCGGCAAATACGGTATATTACACAAAACCTCAAAAAGCCAGGAATGAGTCCAGGGTTTGTTTGTTTTTTAAGCAACCTACCCGTTCAGTATATTTTGTGTGTCTACAGAAAAGACTCATATCACACCAAAGAATCCATGTTCCTCCAACAAAAAAGAAGGGGCATTCAATTATACCATCTTTTATAGCTTCACTCTTGACCTATGTGGCTATTTGCATCAGTGTACAGTATTTCTCTACTCCAATGTACCAAAGCAATTTTACAGAGATACAGCATAGATAAGAATAAGCATTATTGCACGTCAACTTTTGTGTTTGCCTTCTTTGTAGTAAGGTAACTGAAGCAACATTTTAAAAATAAGAGACATGAATCTGCAATAGTCTAAAAAATGGGTCCCTTTAAGCTTTGTGGAATTGCAACATTCTGGAATAATGACACAGAGGACCTTAACCAACTCCCCATCAAAGGGTGTTTGAACCATGAAACTGGGTTCAGTAGAGAGAGAAAAGATTCTGAGAGAAGGAAATCACAAGCATGCAGAAAAGAGAGGTTTTCAAAAGAGATGAGAACAATAGAATGCAGAATTGTGACTTCACTTTCCCTGATCCTTTCCTCTCATCTCTGCATTTGAGGCCACAGTTAATGGCTAATGATGAGACATTCATCAGAAGCATGTTGTTGTTGTTGTTGTTTAGTTGTGTCCAATTCTTTTTGACCCCATGGACCAGAGAACGTCAGGCCCTCCTGTCTTTCGTTGCTTCCTGGAGTTTGGTCAAAATCAGAAGCATAAATGCACTCAATTAAACCTTGTTCTACATTCCCAGAGACACTGTTACAAGCAAAGAGCTAAACCTCCTTGCTCTGCTTGCCTTGGAAAAACAAATCCAACTAACACTTGAATAATAATGCATATGATGAGACATCACACAAGTATGTCAGGCTCAGAGATAAAGGGAGCATATGATGTTTTGTATAGAAATCCAAACAACAGTCTGCTGGAGTTATATTCAACCTCATATGCTCCCTTATTTGGTTTAGTTGGGAGAGATCTTTCTGAGCTGGAGTGACTGTCAATCAATCTGGCAGCAACCAATTGTTCCTTCCCTGCCTCTGATTTCAAAGGGAGCCTCGTCTCTCTGCTTAAGGGTCTCTGATTCCCTCCAATTTAGTCTGTTGGCAGTTATGCAGTTAGTATGAAATTAGAATGCAGTCTGCAGGAGTCTGCTGAGGCCTATTGCAGCAAAGCAGTCATATTTGTACAGTATGCTATTTTTCAGCTATTTAGAACTGTATGAAACATTTTTATATTTTCTCTCACCAATGTCTCAGAGTGAATTATTGAGAAGCTAATTTTGTGTAAGCCCCTGTATTCTGCTGAGGAGATCACAAAAAGACAAAGACAGAAGATATTAGGTCCCCCCCCCCTTTTTTGGATATACCTATTTCATTTCTAGGAGGAAGATCTTCATCCTCGTGACTGGGATATCTCTCCTTCCGATCCAGCAGAAGAAAATAAATCATTTTCTCTTGGTTTTCTCTAGAAAAATAACATTGCATCATCATCACCATCATCCAGTAAAATCTTCCAGTGTTTTGCAGAAAATTAACCCCAACACTGATCTCTTAAATATTGAAACCAAAAGTTGATGCAGACATTATTTGAACAGACTTATCCGTATTAATAAATATTTATTGGAAGCAAGGTGATATTTGGCTTATTTTTGTAGGAGACTTGGAAAAGCTTACTCAAATATGATATGTAGTACATCCTGCGCTCTTCACTGGGCTTTGTATATCCAGCTGCAGATGGAAAAATCGACTTTCTACTCCCACATGAATCTACATGTATAGTACAAAAACTATGGGATGCTGTGTTGAGTATCCTTCATGTTTAGGAATCTAAGTTAAAATAAATTAGGCGCACTTTTCCCAACACTATTTCTCCTGATGGTTTCATTTAAATTTTTTAAATGTTTTATGCTGTTTCATGTTTTTGTTGACTGCTTTCTGATCTGATGTTTTTATTCCTGCTTGGTAGCCGTGCATTAAGGAATATTCTATGAACTCTTTTATACAGAAGAATATTTATTCATAAAACTCCATACATTTTCAGGAAGAACTGTTACAGATACAGAGGAAAGATTTCATCAAAGGACTGGTGTGGTGTAGTGGCTGATAGACTATACTCAAATCAAGAAATCATTACTGGGATCCTTATTTTGGACTCCATGAACTCATTAGATCACTTTAGACAAGTGTGAGCAAGAAGATAAAGGAGAAGAGTAGAGAGAGAGTGAGCCGTCCCCTCATGCGTCTGTAGAGGAAGGAAAAGATAGAGAAGTTGGAAAGGAAGAGGTAGTGAAGGTTATAGAAAAGATGAAAGAGTTAAAGGCGGGAAAGGAGGGGGAGGAGTCAGGAAGGAGGGGAAGGAAGGAGATAGACGTGTTCTTAACTATGGAGGAAGGAGTGAATCAGGGGAGACAAAGAACGTGGTGGTGCTAGAAGAAGAATGGCTAGAGATAGAAGAAGAAACTAGAGTGTTCAAGATCCCACAGAAAGAAGTAGGTGATGGAAGTTGAAACCGTAAAGGAGCAGAGATAAAAAGGGAAGATGGGAAACCTATCATCAAAGGATGAGGACCAGAGGAATGGACGGTCTTAGTGTACCCTTGATGACGGGGTCCTTGGAAGAGGGTGATCAGACCAGGACCAGTTCAACTACATGAGAAGCCACCCGAAGGAGACTGGTCACATCATCCCTGCTGCAGGTGAGGAGTGGTTGTCTCAGAAGGTTGACAGACCAGGAACGGTTTGGACAATCTTTTTGTTGAAGAAAGGCAATTATGAAGAGACATTACCCTTGTTGTGGGCAGATTTTCCTGTTAATGTTGAATAGGTTGAACCCATTGAAGCTGTAGTGGGGAAAAAACCCTAGTTTTGTTAATAAAGAGTTGTTTAAAGTATCTCTTCTCTTGTCATTTCCCGTCAAAAACAAGGAACTGCCAGACACTGACAAAGAACCCAATCACAACAAGCCATTCTTTTCTGAAATTGAGAACCTGCCCAGCACAATGCAGGTGATAACTTAAGTTATAAGGCAGTTGTAAGGATTACAACCAGCTAATAAATATAGAGCATTTTGAACACTTGAAAGCACTATACAAATGTTAAGAATCATTAAGGCCATTCCTTGATCAGGATAACCTGGCTATCATAATTCATGCTCTGATAACTTCCTGCTTGGGCTATTGTGGTACACTCTATCTATGGATTCCTTTGAAGATGGAGCTGGTACATAGTGCCATTGGCTGGGTACTTACAGGATTATGGGAGGTGATTATATCACCCCCGTTCTGATATTTCTGCAGTACCTGCTGCTAAGGCACCAGCTCCAACTCAGGATGTTAGTTATTAGCTTACAGTACTAATAAGTCTAAATATTGAAGAGTTTGGGGCCCAGTGTCTGAGAGAACTGCCTTCCCTGATACTAGCCATCTTGCTTCAGGATCACCTGGGGAGGGCCTGCTTGTTGCGCTTCAGTGTAATGAGGTCTGTTGGGCTACCACACATGGCAGAGCTTTCTTGGTAGTGGCACCCAAATTCTTGGAAAGCTCCTCCATTAGAGATCTGACTGTGGCCCAACACTCCTATCATTCAGATGCCACTCAAAAACATATTCTTCTGCAGTGCAAGGATAAGAATGTCTGGGAACAATCAGACAGCTGCAAAGGTGCACACTTGCTCACACCAGAGAGGGTTGTTTTAACAGGAGCGATCTGTCTTAAAGAGATCCTTCCATCTTTCAGGGAACTACTACAGTCTCTAGCTCCTAAAGTAGAACCCCTAAAAAGCTCCAGATTGGGCATAGATCAGGGTCAGGCAGCAGCAGATTTCCCCACATGCTGTGTGAACACCAGGAAATAGATTGCACTAGATCTTCCACAGGTGGTCAATATTGTGATCTATTTCCCTGTGTGATCCCATCTTGTGTCAAAAACCCTTCTTTAATATGCAAATACAGTAGTGTTAGTTGTTCTGTTCTCTACTGTTTTGAGTGTCTCTTCTCTTATATCCAAGTGGATCAAGTCCCCCATAGGACTGAAAACTTACTCTTCTGATAGCAGATCTTGTAAGAGTTTATTCCTGTCCCGGAAGCAACCTAATGAGTGCATGCTATCTAAAACATCTGGATCAATGTCCTCCAATGAAGGGAGCGAACGAATCTGCACTTTTCGAGGAACTGGTTGTTCTGGTTCTGGCTCATTCTTACCACCTCTGCAACAGAAGAGGGAAAAAAAGTAAAACCTAGTAACATTCATAGCAATTACGCGACTGTATAAAGGCACCTATCACTCCTCCACAAGTTATATTTTAGTTTCAGAATTTTGTAGGAGGTGAAAATTTTCACCACTCTGTGCTCAGGGTACCAAACTATGGCCCTGCATATGTTTTCAGGCTGCAACTTCCATATTTCTTTACCATAGGCTATGCTGACTACTAAAGATGAAAGTTGTAGGCCAAAAATATCTGAAAGGCTACAGCACCAGCTAGTGTAGTAGATTCAACATTTTAAAGAGTAGCAGCTGTATATACCATGTCAGAAAGGCAACAGAACTCTAACAGTGAAGTACTCAGGGGTTCTTCTTGACATGGTTCGTATTGTGCAATCTTCCTGCCTCATTCATGTTTGTCAATCTCTCGGCAGACTGCCTCTATTGTAATTACAGGTGCTGACCCACAGGAAAAAAAAATATTGGGATGCATATATACAAGGCATGGTTTTGCTTACTTAATACATCTTTGTGAGCTATGAAAAGTCATGTCTCCGAAGCCTCAACTGAAAAAGTGTGTTCTAGGAAATGGCACATACCAGTGCCTGTAGATTCAAGAAAGGTTCTCTGCTTTCAGTATTATGTGTTCAATTTTAATTTGAGAGAACTTGTTCATTTTATAGGTTGGTATTAATACAGATACCCCAAATAGACAGTGATTTTTGAAATTATTGTACAGTACATTATCCTGTTTTCAAATATAGTGGTTCAAAATAAATGATGGATCACATACTCCATTCTGTTCAGACAAGGGCCATTCCAAGAAGGCAATATTAACTTTATGTTAGTGTTTTGCTATTGGTTGCTAATATTTCAATTTAGCAAGAAAGGGGCAGAGCCAGCTTACTTGCAGAAAATCCTTATTATGGGTTAGAAGAACTGCTGTGTTACTCTAATAAGTGGAATAACTACAGACAATAAAGCCTGTAGAAAAATAAAAGAAAATGAATAAAAATAATTGGTGAAGCATTCAAAATTGCATTTGTTCACTGATGGAATGTGAAGTCCAATATATCTGCAGAGTACCATGGGGCAGGAGAGTCTTTTTCTTAAATTATGCCACTAATATTATTAGCAGATTCACATAGACGTACACTTGGAAATATTGGTGCCATAAATACAACGCTCATTTGACATGGAAAAGCCACCAGAATATTTAGCAAAGTTTGCTTTTTGCTTCAGCTTTGTTTTATGGGCTGAAATCTTGTTGCTCAATGTAAAAAGTTGCACCAGATTAGGTCCACTGAATCAGTGTGGATTAGATGTGTGAACTGATTGGTTCATTTCACTGACTGAAATGTGCCCTTTCTAGAGCAACTTACTGCACAAAGCAGCAGGTTTTCAGCCAGCAATTAAGAAATGCCAGAAATATATTTTCTATATTTTTAAAAACAACAATATTGTGATGGATAACATTGAGTTAAATCTCAAAGAAAGAGGGTACTCTACACAGAACTCTGACAGCAATGATTTAATCAGAAGCCAGTTGGCCGAGAAGCTTTAGTTCTGCTAAAGTTTCTCTGTGGTTCCCTATATTGGGGTTTTAATGTTAAATTATTCCCTACAGGTCAGCTTTAAGACAGTTTCCCAAATGGCAGCAAAAGTCTACTTACATATACCATATGTGCTTCTGAATGTGTTCTAGCTACAAGGAAAGAGAGAGAGAAGGAATGAGTACAATGCAAAATGGTAATTGCCCATACTATTTATTTATTTACTCCTTTTTATATCCCGTCTTTCTCCCAATGCAGGGACTTAGAAGGGCAATGAACTGTTAAAATGTGCACATCGATTTAAAATCCCAGTACATTAGTATATTTATATTAAAACCCTATTAAATGTATAGGAATCTTGAAACATCGCCAGTTAAACAAATTTAAAATATACAATAGAAACAGAATATGCTGCATCCCATGGTAAAAACATCAATCCTGTTAGAGCATTCACAAATCAAAAGCTAGTTTAAAGAGGCAGGATGGCAGAAGGACAGTAAGAAATGGCCAACTCAGCATTGTATGGAAGGAAATGTACAGTGGTGCCTCGCATAACGAGCGCACCGTTTAACGACAAATCCGCATAGCGATCTATTTTTTGCGATCGCTAAAGCAATCGCATTGCGATGTTTTGAATGGGAATGTTTTTAGAACAGCTGATCGGCGGTTCCAAAATGGCCGGCAGGTGCCCAAAATGGCCGCCACAAGCGTTTTCGCGCGCTGCCCTCGCTTACCGAGGTGGCGAAAATGGTGGCGCTATGGAGGATCTTCGCTTGAACTGTGAGTTTTCGCCCCATAGGAACGCATTAAACGAAGGGGTTTTTAGTTCCGTTTAGCGACGATTCCGGATAGCGACAATTAACATCGCTATGCGGGGCACCACTGTAATAAATTAGAAGGAGCTACCAAAAACACCTTCACTCAGGTCTTCATCAAACATGGTGCTGGAACAGAAAGAAGACCCTCCCAAGAAGATATCAGAGACTGGAGAGGGTTGATTATATAGTGAAATAAAGTATTTGAAATTGTCACGATTAGAGATGAGCACAAACTGCTGGCTTGGCGGTTTGTTTCCCGTACAAACAGCTGGTCTGCAGTTCTGTACCCTGCCCCCTCCAGCAGGTGTCCACTCAGCAGCCAAGCTCGGAGGAAATGGATTGGCAGCCAGTGAAATTATTTTTTTTTTAAAAAAAGAGGGGACAAACTCCCCCTGTCCAGTTCCCAGCATAGATCATCCAAGTCAACGAAAGCTGTCTTAATCCCATGTCTGAAGCTGTTCCATCCAAAAACCCCTGAGAAGTCATCACACTCTCCAGCACTGGGCCCAAAAAGGGAACATTGATACTGGCTGACAACTGTCCACTATATGGGATTCAGACAGGATTTTTTCAAAAAGGGCCTTATAATAGACCCTTTAAGATAGGATGGAATTATGCTTTGAGCCAAGGAGAAAATCAATGCTCCCCTTACCGACTTAGCCATTCCTCTCTTGGATGAACACTGCATTTTGCAGATTGATTAGTGGTCAAGGTACAGCAATGTAAATGAAGAATAACAGGGAGTGAATCCCAAAGTTCCAGTCTGTTCATGCATCAGAAAACTGTGACAACCCAAATCAACTATTCTGTTACCCTTCTCTATGCCTAACTGTACAACTCAAATATACTTGTGCTATTCCCATGATTTTCAATATTCCAGTTAGCACAGTGTAATCGATTTTGGATAAAGGTATCTGGAGAAGATAAACTGGCACAAGAATTCCTACAGAAAAATGAAGGAAATCTAGAACATGAACACCATAAAATTTCCCAGTCAAATCATCTAGTGAATGAACAACAGGAAACAATTATACATGGGAAGCCCTATCACTGCTTAATTTGTAGACACCACACCAGATAACACAGTGGCAAAATGGAGTTCGCCTCCTGTCTTTTCCCAGCTGAAGGTTCTGCTGCTTTCAAAATTCCATGATAATCTGGCCATGGCTCTGAATCATGGTGTATTCCTCCTTGTTTCAATTGAAGGTGGTTATTTACATTCTTCAACTGAAGGCTAGAGACATGTAGGGCATGCCTAAATGTTCACAAGAGGCTTAAATATAATTGCTAATCACAGGTAAAGAAAACCTACTCAATCAATGAGATTTACAAGAGTGCTGATTTTGTTGTTGTTTAGTCATTAAGTCGTGTCCGACTCTTTGTGATTCCATGGACCACAGCACGCCAGGCCCTTCTGTCTTCCACTGCTTCCCTGAATTAGGTCAAATTAATACTGGTAGCTTCGATGACACTGTCCAACCATCT